TAGTATAGTTTGAACGTTCTAATAGAAAAATTAAAACTTTCAATATAAGCAATAGATTTTCTTGAATCATATTTAAATAAAATATTTGTGAGATTTACGTCTTGATTCATGTGATACGAAATTAAAATATAGTAATATAAAATAATTAGAATAATTATTCTTTAACTATTATTTCTAAATAATAAATATATCAGACTATTTATTGTAAGCGCATATAGCCTGTGAAAATTTGGATGTAAATTTTATTAGAATCATAAATCATGTACAATATATTTGTTATATATATTTGTTATTGAATTTTTGTTCATAATCTTGGGTAACAAAAGTTATACAATATATATAATAATTATATGATAGAATATTCAATAGGTCATCAAATACAACATACAAAAGTTGAAAGGAGATCTAAAGAATTGAGATGATTTTTGAAAAGATTCTCATAATTATTACATGCAATAATACTTTTTATGGTGAAGTTTAATGTAAAATCCATGATAAAAATAGTATTCCTCAACGGGAAGTGATGTGGCATCTCGAGTTGAACAATTGGCTTTTCAGTAAAAAAAAAAATAATAATAATAAAAGAGGTGTCATGACATTTTCGAATTTGTAAAACGATCAGAAATTTTAATATGGTTCTATACTTTTTTTTTATAAGTTCATTTTTTATTTAACTTTTTCTACGTCCGTATAACAAGATGTCATCTAACCAAATTAATCGTGTGTACTGAAGACTTCCACATTAATTAGATATTTCAAACTCAAATTTGTATTTTTTTAACTTCCCGTACGGTAAGTTATAGCAATGGGCCGAAAATCAAAAATGAAAATTTTTGCATATTTTCACGTTTCAGAGATTTCTGAACATTTTGGCATACCTCAGAAAATTTGATGTGTTTTCATTTTTTGTAGACGATTTCGGGCGTGCGGATGGATCTATTTCAAAAAAATTCAAAAAGCAATCGATTCCTATTGATAAAGAAATGTGCTGATTAGTTTTCGAAGAAGACAGGTCTAACGCTTCGAAGATATGGAACAAAAAGTGCTACAGTTTTAGGAGAACGGAGCAACCGATTTGAATGATCTGAAAACGTTCAATTCGTAATGATTGGGAGAAGTGATGATTAAATTTTGGCAAAGGCAGGACCAGCGGTTTCGGAAATATAGAGCTAAAAGTGCAAAAAATGTCACTTTTTGAGAGAACTAAGCATCTGATTTGAATGATTCAGAAAATTTCTTCTTTCTTGACAAAACGATTGGTGAAAAAAATTTTCTTAATATCATTGT